AAAAAAAAAAAAAAAAAAAAAAAAAAAAAAAAAAAAAAGAAATGGGGGCATTATGACCACGCTTGCAGAGATAAAAAGGATCATAAGAGAACACGCGACGGCCTGGCGTCGGGCGCCTGGGTCCCGGCGACCTTGGGAAGCCGGGCGCGAGGGCGACGCGGGGCCTGAGCGCCCGCACCCCCCGCCCCGGGGCTGCTATTCCGGGCGCCGCGCTCAGGGGCCGGGAATGTGCGCGAACCCAGGTCGCCCTGCCCTGGTTCCAGGAGTCCCGGGGCGCTGCTCCCTCCCCGCCAGCGCCGGGGTCCCTGTCCCCGCCACTGACTCCCTCCCTGGTCCTGCCCCTCACCCCTCCCTCAGGGGCGCCCCACTCGGTGGAGGAAACCCCCGCACGCCTGGGCTCCGATCCCGGGGTTCCCCGCCCCAGATCCCGGCCACCCCCGACGCAGGGCCCCAGCGCACTGGGCAGAAGCTCAGCCCCGGGGGCCGGGCGTGGGGGCTGGAGAGACCCTCCCAGCTGGCGCATTCCCGGGCTCTGCTGTCACCGAAGGACGCGCCCCACCCCGCCTCCCGCCCTCCCTGCCCAGCCCCGGGCTGCCAGCTGTGGCTTCGGAGTTGTCCCTCCTGGCCGTGGCCCCACCCTCTCCTACCTCAGTTTCCCCATCCTGGCAATGGGGCCCACCGGGGTCTCCACCGCGACCCTTCCAGCTGGACCTCAGCTCTTTGCGCGGACCGGCGACGACCGGGTTCCCCACCACCCCACCCTTTCCCGCCCCGCCCACGCGGGGACCCAGCAGGCGCCCCCTGGCGGGCGGGCTGAGGGGATGGGGCAACGCTCTTCTCCACCCAGGCTCAGCCTGAGTGTCCCCTCCTCCGGGAAGCTCAACCTGCTTTCCCCAGCCCTGACCACAGGGAAAGAGGGTCTGTGCCGGGGTGGGCGCACAGTGAGGGGCTGCTGAGCCAGGGCTGTCTGCCCTCCAGCCTGGAGCACCTTGGAGCATGGCCACCCAGTGCCATTTATGGAGCATCTACTATGCACCAGCTCAGCCGTGAGCAACCCTGGGAGTGTATAATCCTACCTTCTGACCTGCATGCTCAGAAGAAATCGCCCAGGCCCAGCACAGGACGGGTGGAGATCAGGATCACTGAGGAGGTGACCACCATGAGGAGGTCAGAGGGAAGGGCGGCCCAGCCCCAGGAACAGCATGTACAAAGGCCCTGAGGCTGGAATAAGGGTAAAAGGGACAGACGGGAGGTCCAGGTAGCTGGAGCAAGCAGCCTGGGTGTGGGGTGGAGGTGAGGTCACAGAGGGGGCAGGGGGGTGGGAGCCATGGGAGGGGTGAAGTCAGGGTGGGAGTGGAGATGGGTATATGGACATAGTCCACGTATGGAGGGGGTGTTTGGAGTCATGGATGAGGTCAGGGGCCTGGATATCAGAGATCAGGGTGGGGGAGGGGAGATCGGCGAGGCTGGGGTCCCAGAGGAGTCAGGAAGATGGGACTTTTTTTTTTTTTTAAAGATGACCAGTAAGGGGATTGTAACCCTTGACTTGGTGTTGTCAGCACCACGCTCACCCAGTGAGCAACCAGCCATCCCTATATAGGATCCGAACCCGTGGCCTTGGTGTTGTCAGCACCGCAATCTCCCAAGTGAGCCACAGGCCAGCCCTGGAAGATGGGACTTCTGAGAGGAGGGAGGGGCAGACTGTGTCAGATGCCACCGCGAGGTCAGTAGATGAGCTGGAGAAGGGACCAGTGGACCAGCATCGATGCGGGCAGCCAGCTGCAGGCGGGGGAGTTAAGCCTGTTGGACAGAGATGAAGAGAGGTTAGGAGGAGAGGAAGTGTGGACAGCGAGTGCAGAAACTCTCTACTGGGCGCCTACTGTGTACTGGCCTATGGATTGGGGCCCGGGGGCCGGTGGCATCAGAAATGAATAAGGCTCAGGGGCTCTGTCAAGTGGGCAATTGTATCCCCCTTAGACGAGCCCCATTCCCAGAGGCCCAGCCCACAGTAGTCTGCAGGGAGTGCACACAGTAGGCACTGTGTCCTGTAGGGAAGGTAAACATAAAGCATGGCGGCCTGCAAGGAGCATATACAGCAGACATTGAGCTCTGCAGGGAGTGCACACAGCAGGCACTGTGTCCTGCATGGAGATAAACAGCAGGCGTTATGCTCTGTAGGACTATATACAGCAAGTGCTATGCCCTGCAGGGAGTGTATAGTTCACCTTCCGAAGAGTTTGTGTAGAGAGTGTATACAGCAGGTGCTGCCCCCTGCAAGGGGGGTATATAGAAGGCACTGGATCCTGCAGGGAGTGCATACAGCAGGCACTGTGCCCCTCACGGGGGCCCCTCCCTGAGGCAGGGCCGGGATGGGATCGGAGATCAGCCAGGCCCCCACTCCTGCTGTGGTCTCATGGCCTTGGGGCTTGATCGGGGCTGTGCAGCACAGTCACCGGTGCTGTGCACTTCAGCCCTGGTTGAAAGGGTGGACTTCGTGGGGAGTGTTCTCACCACAAAACAGAAACAAAAGCACCCAAGGGAACTTTGAAAGGTCATGGGGTGTTTGTACACG